CACGATTTAGTGCAGAGCTCATTCACTTGAGAGAGGGTGTTTGGAAGTAAAGGAAAGCCAGCGTAGATTTTCAAAAACGAGTATTTTACACAAAACAGTTCATAGACGTGACATTGTTTAAACGTGAAGATTGAACATCAAGGATTTGATTCAGAATAATTTCTTACTTTGTCGACCACTAGTGGCAACAAACAGCTGCGAGTGTTGCTGAAAGCTCAGGAGTTCAAGTTCCCATTAAGACTTTGCGAACCTGGCAACAGACTCAAGCCACATGCTGCCGTGCACCAGCTTATAACTGACAAAGCAACTTTGCTGAAAAGCGCTCATTTCAAATGTGCTAAGTTCATGCAGATGTGTGGAAAGAAATAAAAGCATAAGAAGGTTGCAGTAATGTCTCAGGACTTAAACAGCTTGGCTGTAGCTCTGCATAGATGGATGTTTGCTTTGAGCACACTGAATTGTAACTTAAATCACGTTAACTTTCAGCTTTAATGTGCCTTTTAAAGCCTAAAAAGTACAGCCTAGAATCAAGCTCATGTTTTTGGCTTGCAGACATGCTATTCGTGCTTTTAGATTGTTTTAGTGTATCAGCCTGAACTACATCCTCCAGCTAAAATCTTTGCTACCTAATATTGCAGCTCAGCCGAAGGGACATTGTTAATGTTTAGTTCCTGTCATGCTGTCATGAGCATGAGTCTCTTCGCACAGACAGATGCGCTTCTTTTACAGAGAAAATGATTTCTACATGAAAGGCTTACAACACGTTTTTTTGAGTACCGATTTCTGGGAAGTTTATTTTCCCCACATGTATTTTTTGTTTGCTTTGAAGAACAGTTCAGCCGATGCATAGGAATTACAAGCCAGAGCAAAAATAAATGTAGTGGTGGTGAATTGTTCCTTTAAATTGTCTACATTTACTCTACGGTTTATTACCGTCTCTTGTCAGTGAGCTGAAAACATGAAAGTGGTTTTAATGCGCACATTTGCGCTGACCTGGAAATGCTTGTTTCAGAGAGACAGTCATCAACCGGGCTTCAAGAATGTCATAAATTACCCACACTAACAAGAAGTGTAAGGGGGGTTTTATTTTTATTTTTATCTAGGCCACAGAATAGAGTGTATTATATACGGCCTTTGGTCTGGACATAAATCCAAACTTAGACTATCCGGGGCATTTCTTTAAGCTCAAGCATAAAGAGTATGACATGATGGTTGGTGTCATATACAGTAAGTGATGATTATTAAACACTGAAATGAGTAGCTAAATCTCAGGGGAGAAATTATTAAGTTACAATAAAGCAATATTAATAGTAATTAATAGTAAGAAGAAATACAAAATAACTCTTTAGAATAACCAGCTTAAATTACAAATCATTGTGTTTGAACTAGTTTAGTTCTGTATTTAAATTTCATAGCCCCTGTGTTATCAGTGTTACTGAACTCAAAGCTCGAGTGGCTTTTGGTGTCATTTGGACAAAATAAAAAATTTGAATAAGCTTTCAGAATATTGTAATTCAAGTCTGAAATGGTCTGGACGTTTCTAAAATACTTTGCACAGTCTCGCCTGTTACAAAAGACTCACAGGTCTTTTCATATCAGAACAGATTATTTATGTTTCAGTGTTGGAAATAAGATGCAGTGGGTTAAACAGAAGACCTTCAGAGCACAGTTTATATCTTGCGTGAAGCCAAAAATCAGCTCTGACATGTTCTAGCACATATGGAGGACACATATGGAGGACGTGCATTGCTTAAAGCGTAGAAGTATGACTGCACGAGTGGGCTGTCTATTCCAGCATGTTTTTCTTTTCTTTTTTTCTGTATTTCTGCAGACTGCAGTTTTAATGGTTCACATGATTCTATAATGTATGATGGAGTTTGAATGACTTTACTTGTACAGCACCAAGAATAAACCTGTCCCCATCAGCTAGGCCATCTAATAAACTCCCTCTTCCTAAAGATAATCCTAGAGTGTAAGAAAACTGAATTTATACATTAACACCGCAGCCCTGCAGACATTTACAGTCTTGTTAGAGATAAATGAAAACTTGTGTCCTAAGATACTCTTATTCTCTGTAGCTGCAAAAATGATGACGATAATGATTAAGCAAAATTTCCAGAAATGAAATATCAAATCTGAACAATGCTTAATGCTTACACAGAAAATGTGCAAAGCACCTCAGAAAGACTTTTCTTTTCTAGCATCTTCTTCAAATAAAATCTCGCTGTAAATAAACTTTATTTAATTTCATAAATGTGATTTCCCCACAGATTTAATACACGTTTGTGTTCTCCATCAGATTACTTCACGAAGACTCTTTCTTAATGCCAAACAACAGTAAAGATATCAGCCTATGAAAAGGCAGCGTTTATAAAAATGAACAATGACACTTTTAAACATGTAAATCTGAACTGTGTAGAAATACAAAGATGCCAAATACAGAATGTTGTGCTCTTGAGCTGCACAGCTGTAAAGACACGGCACTGAAATTTAAACTTGAACAGATGAAAAATGGATGAAGCTCTGAGAGAAGATCAAACTGGCCTAATTTCTCTGGATGTTTTCAGCTGTAAAAACGCTGAAGCGCAGTGCTCTTGACCTGTCGGGAGAAACTAAGGACACTAGAGAACAAATCTGCATTTATCTGTCACGTTTCTGGAAATATGGCCAAGCGAGAGTCATTTTTGTCCCCTCCTTACTTACTGTTAGGCATAAAAAACACACACCTCGCGCTTTAATTATGTTAGAAACAAACTGAAGAGTCGAAAAGCAACTTGTCATCACGGGACACACAGAAGCAAAGATAAAAACAAAAAAGCAAATCGCATTTCATTAAAGTGCAACATAACACGAGCAAACATAACACAACCTCCAAGCCCTTCTAAAGTCACTGACTGTCAGGGTCATTTTGTGATGTGTGTGTAAATGCTGCAGGACGTGACTGCCTTCTCTCGCCCACTCCTGCTTACTCTTTCTTTCTGTCTTTAAATATGACAGTATAGCTTCCTGTATGTTACAAAAAAAAAAAAATAGCATTACATCATTAATAATTTATTATGGGTATAATCACCTTTTAAAAAATGTAACACTATCTACCTTCACAACAAGCCGGGACAAAAAGCAGATTTCATCAGTATTAAGTTGATGTGAATGAAAAGTCATGCATAAATTCCCTATCAGCAGCTGATCGCCACAGTTATGTAATGACATGTATGAGACGGTTGGCCTGCTGCCAGCATTAAGTCAGTCACACTCTGTTCAGCAGTCTAGAAAAATAAGCTGTT